TATTGAGTAGGGTAGTTATTAGGTATAGAGACGTATATATATATATATATATATATATATAATTATTATTATTATTATTATTATTATTATTATTATTTTGTTATAACTCTGTTAGACATCATGAGTGATGCAGACTCACTAGAAAAGTATGATTCATTTTTTAAATTTGAGATAAAGAAATATCTCAAGAGCACCAGGTTGGCAAAGGCTGGTATAGAAGCCTTTCACAGTTTGAAATTATTTTATATTTGTAAATGTTCATCTTTGCTTTTGCTGTAAAACTGTTCTTGTAGTTGTAATAAAAATATTTTGGATATTATGTTGACTTAATTAAGGAGTGCTCCCTATACAGTAGCACTATAAAACAAACTACAGAGCCTTCCTCTTGCCAATCCAGTAAAGATGTTTTTGATAAAACAGGATTAGGCTTAAAGTTCATGAGTGAATGGTTTACAGAGGAAATTTAAAAATTCAAATAAGTTTAATCTCTTTACTAACAATTAAAATAAGGGCAAATGAAATAATGAAATATAATATCTTCAAAGTTCAGATCTTTTTCCAGAGCATTCAGTTCTTTTTAATATATTCTATGAAATCAGTTTTAATTATGTAGATCTTTAAAAAGTTTCCAGAAATCTTTTTAAGAAATTAATTACAACATGGTCCTTATTATTGTTAATGCTATTTTGGGTGCACTCTTCTTGCCCACAGTATGTTTTTCCCTTGATTTTATAATATTGCTATATTTCTATAAGACTGTTGTCTCTTTGTGGTGATCGAAGTATATTTGGTTTCTGTATCAGTTCTAAATGGAAAATCTGAGATAAACACTTGTTGGAAACTATAAATCTTAGGGACATTGCCAATTGCTTGAGGAACTCCATGTTACAAAATGTCCAAATTTTCTTATTTTGGTTGCTTAGTTACATTTTGGCCATGTTTGTAGGTATAACAGATGGTTGAAATTATTACGGTGGTTCCCTTTGGATGCTGACACTGTACTGCAGTACCAAAAATACACATTTCCATGTACTGAAGGTTGTAATGGGAGAGAGTTTAAGAATTTAAATAAATCTTAGTATAATGTTCAAAGAGCTAGCAGAATCAGTGATCTTTTTAAAAAAAAAGGTTGTAGATTTTTTTTGATGTGGGAGAGGTTACTTGAATAGTTTAATTAATTATAAAGCTATGATTTTGCCCAAATGCTGAACTCTTCAACAGAAAAAGGAAAGCTGCTTCATATCGATTGAAAAATATTTATTCTTATTTATTCAACTCTCTTGTATTTATCCCACGTTTCTTCCAGGGTGTCTCTTCCCAACCTGGTAACTGGGGTTGCATTTTCTAGAATTCTAGGAATGGCTATGCTATCTGGGAATTCTGAGAGGTATCTGAAGTCATCCGGAGGGCACAGGTTGGGGAAGCTTGCTCTAAGGAGCTCTAGTAGATTACATGAAGTCATCCCATATTTCATCTTCTCCAGAGCAACCCATTGTCAATATTCTCAATAATCTCTCTGCTTGGCTAGCAGTTTGAGCCTAGATTTTCTCAGTCCCACACCAATATTCTTCACAATACAGGCAGTACATTTTGAACAGTTCTGGATAATAATCCAGAGAGAGATTAATGAAGAAAAATGAGGGGAACTATAGACCTTATCAGAAGATCTGCATGCACCTTCCCTGAACATATGAATGGGGCTTTGTAAGATAGCCATATCTCTCTGGCATGTCTGCATATTTTGGTGAGCATGGGAAAGAGCCCCATATGGGCATAACGTTCAACAATGTGCAATGTTGTACATGTTCAGGGTCTTCCTTGCTATCAGGGGAATTGTGCAATCAGGGCTTCTACTGGCATGAAATCTCTCCGTGAGTACATAGTTAGCAGAGTACATGAAATCTCTCCATTCAGCTGTACATGGTTAGCAGACATTAACTGACTGTGTCCAGAAGGGCATCTTGAAAAATTGAACTGTGGCAGTTTCTGTTTTCAGGTCCAAGAAGTAAAAAGGGATTCTATGGCAGTAATGTGTTTCCTGTGTTTTTGCAACAGAGATCTCCTCACTCCTCAGAGTCTCCTCTGACTAGCAAGCAGGGACGCCTTGACTGGTTCATCAGTCGTAGCTGGAATGGGCAACCTTTTGTTGACTGGGGTGTGAATTTAATGATGCAGGAGTGGTAGGGTTGCTCTTCCGGTTTCTGTCCTTGCTGGGAAGGAAATGGATTTTCCAGTGCAACATAAATAAGGATATATTTTATTTAGTGAAGCTATCCTCCATATCCTGAGAGCAGACTTTCTGTAACTTTTAGAATAATCAGATTCTTCCCTGAGGAAACAGATGCCATCTGAGCTTTGGTTATAAGCAACACAGAGACTTAATATAATTAATTGTGATTTCATGAAAAGGTAGATACTTTGTTGCTCATGAAGTCTCCATAATATAACATAATCTCTGGATTAGTGATGAAAAGAGTTTTTGCTATCAATAGTAAGTGGGAAGTTATACTGCTGATATTTTTGGAAGTAGAAAGCCACATCTTTGCTGTAGCTTTTATTCTAGCTCTGGACAAAGCTTCTTAGTAATGATATAAATAACATTATAATGAACCATGAAGGAAAAATCAACCATTCCTGTAGATTTATAATTTGGCAGTTCTGCATATTTTCCTCAGATGAGTCAGTTTTTCAAGTTGAACATTTTTCTAAGCATGGAAATTTTTTAAAAAGTTGCTCTAGAAATAGAGAGGTCTATTAAGAAGGAGTATTAAAACCATGATGCTGGTTTTAGTCTGCCTAAGTGGCAATCTTATGTAATGCTTCTTGAACTCATGGGAACTTACTCCTAAATTTTTAAAATTTCTTTTAGTTAGTACTTGGTCTGTAAATGAAACTATCCCTGAGTATTAATTAGACATAACAGGAATCAGTATATAGTAAAATGGGCTGAAAAGTAATAATACAAAACCCTCCATCTTAAAGTCATATGCTTCTTTTAATGAAAATGTGCTCTGTGGGCAGTTCTATTAAGGCATAGAGGCCATTTTTAATAAGCTCTAAATATCATGGAATATTTCTTTGAGTTAGAACCATATTCATTCCATGCATGCAAACCCAACTTTCCACAGGCATTCATGTTCCCTGGAACATGTGAACTGGCAGATTATGAATGTGGTCAGCAGTAATTCTCAGACTGAGTGTTTATATAGAGAAGATTGGGAATGCTTGCTTGATTTTGAAATAAATCATAACTGGGCACAGTTATATACTACTTTTTTAATGTACATTGAATTCTGTTGTGAGTAGTAGATGGAACATCAGAATGTGTGTGATTGGATGACTTTTGGAAAAAACTATTTTAAAGCTAAATAAATGTTGCCATGGAAGGGGGCAACATTCCTGATCTAAATTTCCACTGAAGTGCTCCTTGGTCTCCTGGGGAAAATAAACAAATATATGAATCAGGAAAATGAAACTGAAATATGATGATTTAGGATGACATCTTAGAATGCCTACTGAAGATTGCTTGAAATGTACTGATAGCTAATAACCTGAACCACATTGCATTATTCACAATAAATATAGCTGAAATATAAAGAGACTTTACTGGAGTAATTATAGTAATATTTAAGCTGCCGAACAAGGAAAAGCCTTCAGAACAGATATACGACAGTAAAACCAAGAACAATGAACTAAAACGAACAATGGTATGCGTCAGTTAATTGTATTTTTTAAAATATAACGATTAAATAATTGCCAGAAGAAGAAAATGATGCCAATTTGGCCTCTAAGTATATGCAATAAAGAAAGATAGATTTCCATATATGGGTAGCCCTCAGGTAACAATTCCTTGTTCAGCAACCATTCAAAGTTACAACGGCATTGAACGAGGGAGACTTACAACCGGTCCTTGGAGTTCTGGCTGTTGCAGCATCCCCATGGACACGTGATTGCAATCTGGGTGCATGGTGCTTGGCTCACGATTACGACATTGCAGCAAGCCGTGGTTACATGATTGCAATTTCTGACATTCCCTGCCAGCTTCCCACAAGCATAGTCAATAGGGAAACCATCAGGAAATCAGAAGTTGCTCCCACTCCTGCTGTTTCTTCTCCCACCCGTGCTCCAGGTCGCATGCCTGTGGCACTCCCTGTCCCCCGTGTCACCCACACACCTTCCCATGCTCTGAACCGCCTGCCCATGGCACCTCCCACCCCCCATGGCACCCATGCACCCATCAGCCTGCTTCCCTGGGACTCCTGCCTCTTTCAGCTTAATGACCAGCATGGTCCTGGGGTTCCAACAGCAGTGGGGACTGCTAGGATTGCCATCGCTAAGCAATGCAGTCACGTGACATTGCACTTTATGACCACATCACTTAGTGACAGAAATTCTGGTCCCAATTGCCATCATAACCCAAGGACTACCTGTAGAGGAGATGAATGGTTGTAGAGATGTGGCTTCCTTTATAGCCATATCCACACAGCTGCTTTGCTGAGCTCCCTCTCTGACCCAGAGCTAGTAGGAAAGCATGCCATCCTAAATCTTGCTGTCCCCACAGCAAATCCTTACTGTGTACCTGAAACAGGTCTGTGCTGTGCTGCTGTCCATGCAGCTTTAATGGCAACATATCAAGGACTGTGACTGGTAGTTTCTTTGGCAGAAATTCCAGCCCTGCTCAACGTCATCCACCATGCGAAAAACCTTCCCCAACTGGCATGCACCACATTCTGGTTACTTTGTATGCTGCATTTTTTTTTTCTTTCCCATCATACCACTGACTGAATGAACTGTCTTTTCATTTCTTGTAACAGTGCATTGACCAGCTGACCACTAGATTACAAAAAAAAGTTAAAGTTTTTTTTAAAATTTCTTGGCTGCCATTTAGCGGTCATCCGGAAACTTGCAGCTAACACTGAGATACAGTGACAGTTACATATTGAAGAGCTGGAGTCTGAGAAACAGTTTTGTGTGTGTGTGTGTGTGTGTGGTTTTACTTTTTATTGAACATTTTAATAGAAAAAAGATAGACATGAGAAAAAAAAAGTAAAAGAAAAAGAAAGAAAAACATACAGTAAAAGACAAGAGATTTACAAGCTTCATAAAAGTAAGTAAATTGAGTTACTTTTAATTTTTATAGTAATTTTAGTTTAGTTCTATGTATTTGAATACCTTATATCATTTTAAAGTTACATATTACTTTTAAAGTTAAGTTAATAAGCAGGCATGACAGTAATCAGCACAATATGATGGATGGATGTGTTTATTTATTTATAAGATTTATTGGACCACCCATCTCATGACAGTGAATCCAGGCAGTGTACAAAAACAAATGTCAGTTAAAACTGTCCAACAATAAATATACAAGGTCAACAAACAAAACCACACTAGTCAGCAGAGCTCATTTAACCTCCTGGCCCACATATCAGGAAGTATTATCAATCAGAGTGAAAAATGTAAAGTTTTATCTAGTCAATAAATATCCGAGTTTATCAGGTCATCTGAAACTTTATGTTAAGAGAAATAGGTTTTGCCATGACATTTGGTGTGGTACCTTAAGCTCTTCTAAGAACATCACATGAGGAGAGGCTCCAGGGCTTCCATGGGAACAGAGGCCAATAGGAGGGGAAATCCCCACCATGCATGCCATTCAAGTACAAGAACTGAGATCTTTTGATTAACTCTCAATTACATTTGTTTTAGACAAGCGGTGGGATACTCAGTTGTAGGATTTCACACTCAAGTTTGATCAGTTGGTTGGCTGACAATCCATTTGAAAAAAGAACGAAAATGTGGCTTCAGAAGTCAGAATTTGGTCTTTCTCAAATCAGCAGCGCAGAACAGGTCTTGAGCCCAGAGACTGGATAGAAGGGCAGATATAGTCCAAGCATATTGCCGTACTCAAGTGCATAATCTCAAGCCTTCTACTCCATGCATAATGGATTTTCCAGATGGAAGATCTTGAGCTATGTTAACAGGGAGATCACCACTTCCAGAATGAAGTGTGTAAAACCATCTTTGGAGTGCCTCAGCTATGGGCTGACAAGATGTAGGTACCAGCATTAGGACATGTTCTGTAGAAACAGGGAAATGTCTTCATGCTGGTGCACAGATGTATTACCATACCCAAATTCATAAACAAAGGCCTATGTTATGTTTCTGGGTATGGCAATAAATCCATAGCATTTAAGTATTTTATGTTCTTGTGATGTGTGTTCTGTCATTAAGATAGCCAAAACTGCATATATAAAATCTTAGAATCAAGTGATTCATTCAAAGGGTAACATATGTATGTGTATAATAATAGAGAGCTAGGTTGGTGTAGTGATTAAGGTCTTTGAAACCAGGAGACTATGAGTTCTAGGCCTGCCTTAGGCATGAAAGCCAGCTGGGTGACTTCGGGCCAGTCACTCGCACCCAGCCCAACCCACCTCACAGGGTTGTTGTTATGGAGAAAATAGATGGGCAAGAGTATTAGGTACGTTTACCACCTTGAGTTATATATAAAAAGGTGGGATAAAAATATCATCATCATCATCATCATCATCATCATCATCATCTGTAGTAATTACCTAACATTTTTTAATAAAAATCACAAATAGGATCCTTTAAAATGTAAGTGTACCTGTTCTTAGCTTGTGATTCAGTGGGATGGGGTGTGGACAGGACCTGATGGTGGCTAAATTATCCTGTTTTCAGATTGAGGGACTGAACAAACTGACCTATCTTTTTAAATTTATTGCTCAAATGCTTATTTCTTTGTTTCTATTATTGAATGGCACTGTTAAATGTCATATATGTGTGTGGGTGTGTATTTTTTTAAAATAAAAATATATTGTTAATAAGCAATAGCTTATAACAATATATTTCCCTTAAAAATATATATTGGCTTTCAAAGAAAAGTAAAAACAATACCTTATTTTTTAGAAAAAAAAAATTCTGTGAATGGCAGCAGATCAGCAGGTAGATTGTTGAGTTCACAGCTCAGCCATCAAGTTTTTACATTCTCTGAAAGCCATATAGTTATAGGGATTTTTTTTCCTGGCTGCTCATTTATTTTCCTTTTTTTTTTTTTTTTTTGCAAAATGCGAATAACTGCTATTTGTTATTTATTGTGAACATCTTTTAAATTTTATTAATTTTTTTGGAATGTACTTTATAATTCAAGCTGAAAATGTAGATTTACAGATTAAGATCATTCATAATAGTAGGTTTTGTTAATGAAGACAAAGAGGACATTCATCCAATTTCCTCCACTGGAATAGAGAGCTGATTTAAACAGCCACATATTGCAGCCCATTTTAAATCCAAATTGTTCAAAAGGCCATATGTTAGTTGGGATATTCTATGGAGTGTCATGCTGTTGTTCCATACTGGTGTAAAAAGTAGGATTTAAGGTTTCAGAAGGAACATCAAAAGATCTACATCTGTTTATTAGGAACCAGATTTCTGCTCCTCTCCTTTTAGTCATCCAGGAAAAGTATACCAATAAGTTCATTCATATGAATGTGTGTGGGAATTCCTCACAGGAGGTTACCTTCCATGTGGTTCAGATTTAAAGTGGCCACCTGAGATGAGCAAACTCTGTAAAATTCAATCACTTTGTCATCTGAACTTAATGGATGGAATACATCTAATTCAATCTATTTAGAAGGTAATGGAATGACCCTAAACAATTACTTTGCTGCTCTGCTGGAGTTGCTGGCCTGCAACATATTCTTTTTTGCAAAGTTCCGTCGACACAGTGATATGCCCAGTTCTGTGCGCATGATTGAAATTCCACAGTCCTCAAGGCTGAGCAGTGAAAGTGTTGTTTTAAATAATTTAAATCAAAGTGCTCAAACTCACAATAGTATAATGTTTGGGTTTTTCTTCTTAGGGCTATCGTGGAGTAGCAGGAACTCCAGGATCCCCAGGGATTCAAGTAAGCTCACTATGCCTTTTATACACTAGACAATACTTCCTCAAGTGCCTTCATGTTTTGGGCAGAATTGCAAAATTCTTAACTAGCATGGCCAAAATTGGGGAAGGCTATTCTAAGAACCACTGTGAAGACAACATTTAACATAATGATTATTGCAGTTATAAATAAAACAATCCATAAAATTCAATGAGGTTCATAATTAGATTAATTTTTTTTTTACAAGGGTCCACGTGGCCTTCCAGGTGTGAAAGGCGAACCTGGGACAGATGGGGCAAAGGTAAGGCTAGTTTAACACCTTTAATTCATTTTAATCAATAAGTGCTATACACAATACTCAAAATGTTCAAAAGATAGTTACTAATGTATACATTATCAGTTTAAAATATACTTGATTGTCTGTATAAATGTATCTTTGTATAGGGACTCTCTAGTTTATTTACATTAATTCTAAAATGCTTCTGAATACTTCTTAGTTCAGAGATAACTTCTACCATGGTTTGCTTTTTATTTGCTTTTTTTCCTCCTGTATTCAAAATCTCCCCAATAAGTCTGGATGTCCAACCAATGACATAAAAGATGGGTACATTAGTGTGCATCTGTGCACTTTTGACAGTGTTTAATGACTAAACAATGTCTTTGTAAGTTAAAGCTTTGTATATATTTATGATCCTACTGTATGAGGCCCAGGGATAGTAAAGTTCACAGTAAAGTAATATATGTAATTATTGAATATATTTCAAGTCTCTTTTTTGGAGAACATTCTGCACATTTGGAAAATCCAAGCGTTTAGAATTGTATTCAGTGTCTTCATGGGGTACAGCATACTTATATATAGCACAGCTTTGTTGTACCCATCACCCCCTTATATTATTATGCTAAAAATTCATCTTGGCCAAATTACTTTGTATTCTTTGTTGTATATAGAAAGCTCCCAGTGAGCAATGATTTTCCATTCATTATGATATCAGAGTCAGCTGTGCCAGTATGGTTAAGAAATGAATTTGGCAATGACCCTAAGAGTAATAATGAATGAGAAAATGTTCACTGGGGCCCCTTCATGAGTGTTAATTCTCTGAGGTATGCAAGAAGCATTTGAGCCAGATGTTTAATAACTTCATTTCTAGTAAGATTAGTTGTTGTTGTTTCTTTTGGTTGTAGACCAGCATAAAACTAATAACATAGCAATCACTCTAAAATAAAAGTAAAATGAAATATCATATTGATAGAATACAATAAAGTAAAAATAAAAATTATTAATGTAAAATTACAAAGTACAGGGATTAATGCCCAGGAGTGACCTATATAATTACAGTGTGAATGCTATAGATCAGGGTTCCTCAACCTCAGCAACTTTAAGATGGGTGGACCTCAAGTCCCAGAATTCCCCAGCCAGCCATGCTGGCTGGGG